ATTATCTGATGACTAAGCAAAAACTACAATACTTGTTGAACTTCTCTCTAGTGGACATTGAAAGAGACACTCCTAATGAGATCATTCCTCTTATAAAACCTATTAAGAGGTAGTTGACATCTGCATTTTGAATAGGGATTAGTCTATTTTTATGTTTGGTTTATAGAGCTCTCATTTTGTACTAGATAAGAAGAGAAAAGGAGGCAAGTGCTCTGGAGAATGTAGTATTTCTATTCCAAATAATTAATGGCATCACTAATACCCTATCCTCATGTTAGCAAAATCTACCTAGTAGCACTCTGGAAGAGCACAGCATACTCGGCAAGCATTCGTCATGACACACAGTTGGTGTGCATGTGTGAGGATGTGGCTGAGAGAACCACAGTGAAGAAAAGTGTAAGGATGACATTAGGTTTATAAGGCTTGTGGTACCTTGACGTCACTGCACAGCAACCAGAGCAACTTTCCTGGGGAAAATGGTGAATTAAAAATCACCTGATCCATCCTGACAATGTCTTCATCTTTCTGTAATCTCAGTAACTTCAGAAAGGCTGAACCCTCAGTGAGAGGTTACTGGTACTACCAAAAGTAATTATACCCTAGATTTTTTTAGATCACTGATAGGGACACTTTCCTTCCATGTTATGATACCGGTGGTATCATATAGCAAAGTGATATAGTTTCACTGACTAGGGTCTCCTTAAACCACCACATAAGTGTAGTATCAATTTGTCAAGATTAACATTAACAGCCTTTATTCTAAACCTGTTCATAAGGAATCCCCTTACAGCTCCTATAAGAAATCCTTATAGTTAAGTGTTAAAATGTGGAGGCAGATAGTTCACATCTATGTTACATATGCAAGGGTACTCTCAACAAGTTGATTTCATTTGTGAAATTTAATCTCAAACAGTGGTTGACTGTCTGCCAGACATTTGCCTTCAGTAATCTTGCAAATCAGTCATATGTTGTAATTGAAGTTGGAGGTTGAGATTTCTAATCATGATACCTGTTTAAATTTTTCTGTCAGCCAAAGTGTCTATGGAGAATATTCAATTTTATTTCTTTCAAGACAGTATAAAAACATCTCAGTATATGAATCCTAGAAACAGTCTGACCAAATCAACTCTCCCCACAATTATTCCAACAGCTCTTGCCAGAAGACGTTATTCTGAAGTTGCAAAGTAGAGATTGTATTCAATTATTTCCAAATGTCCTTAGAAAATGAATTTACACTACCTAGTATGATCTATTCTGTCTCTCTCACTCATATTCTTTTCCAAGTCCTGTAAAAGAAAACTAGGAGATATAAAGTAAAGGTAAAATATGTGTGCCACCAGAAGAGAACAAGCAATAAAAGGTGAAGTAGTCAAGAGTAAGCAGAACCCTACAGAATAGTCCTTTATTGACTTTGGGCTAATCCCACCATACATCATGGGAACCCAACATTGCTACTTAATATAAGAGCAAAACCCAATAATACTAAACCACAAGAGCTAAAGGTATATTCAACAGCTAAATAACTCTCATCTTTATTAAGTTCAGGATTAACCGTTACAAGAAATAGAATTCCTAGCTTAATATAAATGATAAAAATACTTATTTCTTTATTTTAATTTGGCAATTTGAGTATTAGATCTTTTCAGCTGAATGGCTGACTTTGCTTTAAAATATATTAATTGTGGGGCACCTGGGTGGCTCAGTCGGTTGAGCATCCAACTTTGGCTTAGGTCATGATCTCACAGGTCACGGGTTTGACAGCTGACAGCTCAGAGCCTGGAGCCTCCTTTGGATTCTGTGTCTCCCTCTCTCTCTGCTCCTTCCCAGCTCATGCTCTGTCGCTCTCTGTCTCCCAAAAATAAATAAATGTTAAAAAAAATGAGAAATAAATAAAATATATTGTTTTTAAGTGTTATTTTTTTAAAAATTTGTTAATGTTTATATTTTTGAGAGAGAGAGAATGAGCAGGGGAGGGGCAGATAGAGAGGGAGAGACAGAATCTGAAGCAGGCTCCAGGCTCCCAGCTGTCAGCACAGAGCCTGAAGTGGGGCTCAAACTCACAAACCACGAGATCATGACCTGAGCTGAAGTCAGATGCTTAACCAACTAAGCCACCCAGGTGCCCCATGTTTTTAAAGTGTTCTATAAGCTAAAAGTATTAATAAATGTGTACACTGTTGTGAGGCTCCAGTATTATTTCATGGCCACAATCTTAAACTATTTTTTATTTAATCAGTTACTATTACCCTCCCATATATAAAATCCTTCTTTCCCTCTCTCCTCTCTTCCATATTTTGTAACTGGTAGGAAACTTTAAAATGATTTAAAAATCTAATCTGAGAAGTTTTACTTATGCATCTGTTCAAATTATTTCTTCTTGTTTCAGTTTTGGTAGTTTGTATGTTTCTAGGAATTTGTATATTTCTTCCAGATTTCCCAGTTTGTTGGCATATAATTTTTCATAATATTTTCTTATAATTGTTTGTAGTTCTGTGGTGTTGGTTGTGATATCTCCTCTTTCATTTGTGATTTTATCTATTTGAGTCCTTTCTCTTTTCTTTTTGGTAAGTCTGGCTTGGGGTTATCAGTTTCATTCTTTCAAAGAATCAGTTCTTAGTTTCATTGATCTGTTTCATTCATCTGTTTTTTATTGTTGTTTCTATATCATTCATTTCTGTTCTAATCTTTATATTTCCCTTCTTCTGCTAACGTTAGGCTTTATTTGCCATTCCTTTTCTAGCTCCTTCAGGTATAAGGTTAGGTTGTGTTTTTGAGACTTTTCTTGCTTCTTTAGTAGATGTGTATTGCAATATACTTCCCTCTTAAGATGCCTTTTCTCCATCCTAAAGGTTTTGAACTGTTATGTTTTGATTTTCATTTGCTTCCAATGTATTTTTTAAATTTCTTCTTTGATTTCCTGGTTAGCCATTCATTCTTTAATAGGATATTTTAATCTCCATGTATTTGTGATCTAAATTTTTTCTTGTGTTGACTTCAAGTTCCATAGTATTGTGTTCTGAAAATATGCACGGTATGATCTCAGTCTTTTTGTGGTTTTGAGGACTGCTTTGTGACCCAGTATGTGATCTACTCTGGATAATGTTCCATGTTAACTCAAAAAGAATGTGTATTCCACTGATTTAGGATGAAATGTTTTGAATATATCTGTTAAGTCCATTCAATCCAGATTGCCATTCAAATTGTTTCCTTGTTGATTTTCTGCTTAGATGATCTTTCCATTGCTGTAAGAGTAGGGTATTAAAGCCCCATACGATTATTTTATTATCAGTGAGTTTCTTTACATTTGTTATGGATTGATTTATATATTTGGGAGTTCAAGTTTGGGGCATAAGTATTTACAATTGTTAGATCTTCTTGAGGGATAGACCCCTTAATTATGATAAAATTCCCTTCTTCATCTCTTGTTATAGTCTTTGTTTTAAAATCTAGTTTGTCTAATATAAGTATGGCTACTCCAGCTTTATTTCTACATCCATTAACATGATAGATGGTTCTCTATCCCCTCACTTTCAATCTGCAGATGTCTTTAGCTCTAAAATGAGTCTCTTGTGGGCAACATACAGATGGGCCTTGTTTTTTGTTTTTTTTGTTTGTTTGTTTGTTTGTTTGATACCCTATGTCTTTTGATTGGAGCATTTAGTCCATTTATATTCATAGCAATTATTGTGTTACCTATAAAGTTGGTGTTCCTGGTTATGTTCTCTGTTCCTTTCTAGTCTTCATTGATTTTGGTCTTTTATTTTCCCCATCAAAGAGTCCCCTTTAATATTTCTTGCAGGGCTAGTTTAGTGGTCACAAACTCCTTTAGTTTTTGTTTGTCTGGAAAACTCTATCTCTCCTATTCTGAATGACAGCCTTGCTGGATATTCTTGGTTACGCCACTCCGTTCAAACCTGCCACATTTCTGTGGACACATCTGTGAACCTGATCTGTCTTCCCTTGTAGGTTAAGGACTCTTTTTCCCTTTCTGCTCTCAGGATCCTTTCCTTGTTTGTGTTTTTGTGAGTTTGACTATGATATGTCTTGGTTATGGCTGTCTTTTGTTGAATTTAGTGGGAGCTCTCTGTGCTTCCTGGATTTCGATATCTGTTTCCTTCTCCAGATTAGAGAAGTTTTTATTATAATTTGATTAAATCTCCTTTTTTCTTTCCCTTTTTTTTAGCTTCATTATTTTCCATAATTTTATCTTCTATATTACTCATTTGTTCCTCCACTTTGTCCATACTCTAGCTCTTTTATCTCTGCAGTAAGGGATTTTCTAATGTCTTCTATGCTATGCTTTTCTCAAACCCAGCTAGTATCCTTGTGATTGTTGTTTTAAATTCTGGTTCAGACATCATCTTTGTATCTGTATTGATTAAATCCTTGGCCATGACTTCTTCCTCCATCTTCTCATTTTGTGTGGGTCATCACTGTTTTTCGTATGTGTTAAGAAAGCCTGTTGTATTTGGGTTCCTGAGAGTAATGGCTATAGTAAGAAGAGGTCCAGAAACAAAAAATTTAAAAAAATTAAAAAATAAAAAATAGGAAGCTAAAATCTATTTCCCCTAGAGCTGAAGCTTTGCAGCACTCTATGATCAGTAAACTTGATGCATGGGAGGGGTCTGTGCTGGTGTTCTGTGGGTAGAGCTTGCTGTGCTGATTCGTGCTCTAGTGGAGGGCACGGCGGGGGCGGGGGGGGGG